ATACATACATACATACATACATACATACATACATACATACATACATGGTGGAGTCACCCGAAAGCAACTCTGGCTATTACTGGCCCCAACCGGATGCGAACAGGCCGTATGGGATATAATCGCCCTGTCGGCCCTGTCTGCCATGGAGGTTGGCAGATGCTGCCTGAGGGCAGCGGGCAGGAGGCAGGAACGAGCTGGGAGCCAAGGACCACAGAACCGGGAGCACGCGCAGCAGGTGCAGGTACCCGGCCCCAGGCAGAGGCGGATAACGGACTTTTTCATCCAGGCCGACGGGGCGGGACCGCAGACGGGGCCTGCACTGAATGCGCCGGGGGATGAGGACCAAACGCAGGAGCGGAACACGGCGACAGGGGCGGTAGCAGCAACGGCAGGCGCGGCGGCAGCAGCACCCGCAGCAACCCCCTTGGAGCGGGCCTGCGCCCGGGCAGTGGTGGACTTCTGGGCGCGCCTGCGCTCCTTCACGGCGCTGGGCACCCCGCGGAGAGGCTGGGACAGGGTGGGACCCGACCACCCGATCCTGTCGGTTTCAGAAGGCGCACTGCGGTGCGCCGAAGCGGTGGAGATTATTGCCTAAGAGCGCTTTGAGCTGAGTTTGTAGGGCAGGGCTGGGGGGGGTATAGGAGTTCGAAGGGGATGGGGGTTGGAGGACGAGGGAATAGGTGAGAGGGAACCCCGAGGCGGGAGAGGGAGAGGAGTAGGACGGGGAATGGAGGCGGTCACGTCGTGCAGGGAAGAACCCTTTTTCTTCCCTAGTGCCGCTCCGAGGTTGTAGGGGGCTGGAGAGCCGGGGGGAGGTGGGGTCGCTCGGACAGGGGAGGGGGGAGATGGCGGTGAGAGCGCCAAAAGGACGTAGGTTTTCTGGTGTTTGGGAGGTTGAGGTCTGGTGGTGGTAGCGGGGCTCGGATGAGGGGGAGGTGTGGCCCGAGGAGGGCCATTCTATCTAGACACGTCTTCTCTGTGGGACTGGGTTGCTTGGTGAGGGACGAAGGTGAGAGCGGTGCAGTACGAGACAGGGTGAATAGGTTTCTGGAGGACCAACCGTTCAGGTTAGTGGCGGTAAGGGGGAGGCGCCACGCGGGCTACAATCCTCCCCCTGCGGTTTTCTGGAGGGTCTAGGAGCTGTGTGTCGTGGCAACGCTAACGCTTTGGTCGTTTCGCCGGACTATCCCGGGCCCCTGCAGTGGTGATCAGGCTTGTGCGGGATCCCTTTTCTTTATAAGGCTACTTCTCCCCTGGACCAGCCCAGGAAGGGACAGGTGGTGGAGGTCAGTTGTTTTAAGGTGGTTGCAAGACGTCTTGTGGTGTCGAGCTCTCTTAGCCTTTCTCTATTGGAGGTTTTTTGTTGGCCTGTTAGGTATATCAGGAGCCCTCCCCTGCCGGGACTGCCCCAACCGAATTTGTGTTTGTTTGTTTGTTTGTTTTCCCTTCGAATCCCGTTTTCGTTGGTGGTGTTTGGGGGGGTTGTTTCAGAGAGCCTTTGACGTTGCCCTAGCTGAGACTTGTGGACTCGCTCTAGCGGGACCTGAGAGCCCTTCGTGGTGTTTTCACTGCAGCGCCATCCCCAGATGGGGTGGCTGCGGAGTGGCTGCGTAGAGTGTTGGCAGTCTGAGTCGGGGTCGGGAGCACGCAAGACTAACCGACTTGTGCTGTGTGCTCCCGACCCTTGCGCTGTGTTTCGGCTTCGGCCCCCGGCTCTCGCGGCCCACAGTGTAATCTAAGTCATACATACATACATACATACATACATACATACATACATACATACATACATACATACATACATACATACATACATACATACATACATACATACATACATACATACATACATACATACATACATACATACATACATACATACATACATACATACA